CGCCGTCGCTCACGGGGACGCTTGGCCGCGTGCGGCTCGACGCGGCTGCCGACGCGGTGCGCACCGCGTGGGTCGACGCGCGGCTTGAGGCGATGCGTAGCGGCGAGCCGATCGTTTTCCAGTGCCAGTTGGGAACGGGTCGGTACACGGTCTCGAAGCTCATCGACGCGTCGGCAGCCGGTGCGGTCGCCGCCGACGAGGACGCCGCCGGCTCGACCACACTTGCTGACGACGAGCACGAAGACCTCGGCGAAGTAAAGTTCGTCCAACTGTCGGCGGGCAACCCACTAACGGCGGTCGTCGACCCGGCGGTTGCGGCGTGCTTGGTGTTCCGCCCCGACGGCGCGACCCAAGACGCTTGGGCGGTCATCGAGTCGGCGAATGGACGCCGGCGACGCATCACGCTCCGTAGCCTGACCGGCGCGGCGCGGGTTGAAGTGGTCTCAGCAAGTGAGGGGACCTAACGGCCATGCGTCGCCAGCGAACCAAACGCCGCGCCTTCACGCTACTCGAGGTGATCCTCGCGCTGGCGATCCTCGGGCTTGCGCTAGCGACGCTTGGCGAAGCGGTGGGTCGTTCCCATCAGAACGCCCGCCGGGCCGCGGACCAAGCCGAGTTGTGCTTCGCTGCCGCCTCGTTGCTCGACGAGGTGATCGTCGGCTCACGGCAGTTGGTTGCGGTGGACAGCGAACCGGTCGCCGACCCACTCGACCCCACGGCGCCGCCCGTGGCGTTGGTGTCTTTGCGGATCGAGAACGGTCCCCTCGATGGCGTGCTGGTGCTCTACGCTAGCGCGCGACCGAACGACCCGTTGGCTAGCGAGCTCGATACGGTTCAGCTGGTGCGCTGGGTGATTGACCCTGCTCTCACGGAGTCGGCTTCGACCTCCTCGGCAGACGCTTCGAGCACAAGCTCATCCGGCACGGGAGGGACGCTGTGATGACCCGCCGCGGTTTCTCCTTGATCGAGCTGGTGTTGGCGATCGCGCTGTCGATTGCCCTTTCGGCGCTGTTGGGGATGGCAATCGACCTGCACCTCGTGCGGCTCGACAGCAGCCGCACGTCGATCGAGCAAGCGCAGATCGCGCGGTCGATTCTCGACCTGATCACGGCCGACCTCCGCGCAGCGACCACGGCTCCCTCGCAGGACGTCTCGGAACTTCAGAGTGCGGCGGACGCCGCGGCGCAGTTCGACGTTGACGAGGTCGATTCGGGCGCCGAGGACGAACCTCAATCGCAATCGACGACAACCGCCGCCACCAACCAGATTCCAACCGGCCTCAACGGCGATGTCGATTCGCTGACGATCGACAGCCGGCAACTCACGCAGACCCTCGTGACGGTTGCGGAGGGCGCGGCGCCCGTCGCACGCATCGATGTGGGCTGGACGCAGATCGGTTATGGCATGTCTCTCGTCGCCGCAACGCCGGGCTTGGTCCGGACCGTCGCGCCTCGTGACGCAGTGCGTTGGCGGACCGAGCAGGGCGTCGAAACGCCCGTGACCGAGCCGATCGCTCCGGAAGTGAGGGCGATCCAGTTCCGCTACTGGGACGGCACACAGCTCATTGACATGTGGGATATGACCGAGCAGCAGGCGTTGCCGATGGCAGTGGAGGTCCGCATCGAGCTTGCGCCAATCGACGCGACCGACGCCGACCACACCAGCACCGCTCGGCAGCAGACCCAAATCTACCGTCGAGTGGTCCGCCTCCCTGCTGCTACTGACGAAGCAACGGCTTCTGCTGGAGCGAGCGCCGCAGCGGGCTCGGCGTCTGCCTCGACCGGCGGAATGGGCTCGGGCTCTGGGGCTTCAGGCGGCTTTGGCGCGGGGGGAACCTGACATGCGCTATCGCAATCGGAGAGAGCGTCGCGGCGTGCTGCTATTGGTAGTGCTCGTCGTCGTTGCGCTGATGGCGATCGCCAACCTGTCGTACTTCGATTGGACCTTCGCCGAACGCAAGGCGGCCGACGCCTCGGTGCGACGCGAGCAGGCTTACCACGCCGCCGAGTCCGCCACCGAGATGCTACGCGTCTATCTCTCAGAGGACGCAACGACGATCGATCAGGACGGCGGCTGGTACGAGAACCCGGCGCGGTTTCGCGCGGTGCTCGTGGCCGACCACCCCGCCGCCGAACTGCGTGTCCGCGCCGCGGCGGTCGCGCCGCGTTGGGGGAACTACCAGCTCGAAGGCGCCCGCTTCGGACTGGAGGACGACTCGGGACGCCTCAATCTCAACACGCTGCTGGTGACCGAGACGCGCGAAGAGGGCGCGGCACGCACCCAGCTGATGGCGTTGCCTGGCATGACCGAGGCGATCGCCGACGCCATCCTCGACTGGATG